TTAACACTTACTTGAATGTTTTAACGTAGTGGGCTACTTATGGTGTTAACACTTACTTGAATGTTTTAACGTAGTAGGCTACTTATGGTGTTAACACTTACTTGAATGTTTTAACATAGTTGGCTACTTGTTCAGAAGATGTAATCCACTCCACATAGTCAAGAATTTTCCTGTTTTCATAGTAAGAGAAATACTTTAGTACAAAAGTTTACTGAAGAGACACTTGTAACTTTGTATTAGTGAAGTTGGTGTAGGTTTTATTTCTTAGTCAGAAAGAATGAAGAGTTTGACGTGTAGTTAACTTCAACAAGTAAAAATCTATGAAGGTGCTTATAGACACATTATACATAGATAAACTATACATTTTAGATATTTTGTAAGTAATTTCTTTCTTGAAAAACAGTTCAACAGAAATATTTCATTTGGACATAAAGTCAGGAATGGATAGTAGCTAGATATTACAATATTAAGCTTCATTAATACAAGTACCTGTTACAAACATTAGATCATCGTAATCATGACAACAAGCTTCATTAATACAAGTACCTGCTATAAACATTAGATCATCCATAATCATGACAACAAGCTTCATTAATACAAGCAGTACTTGTTATAAACATTAGATCATCGTAATCATGACAACAAGCTTCATTAATACAAGTACCTGTTATAAATGATCAATTATCGTAATCATGAAAATAAAATTAAAAAGCATAAGCAGCACCTGTTAATAGTGTCTCCAAATGTTGCTTTGATGATCTGTCGCAATAAAACAACAATTCGCCGTCTCAACCACTGATTCTTGCTTTTGAGGTCGAACACCTCGTCCATCAGCAGAACTAGAATTCGTAATGGAATGTTGTCTTGAGCCTGTAGATATTTAACAGAGAAAGCAGAATTAATGAAAGTGATACAAGCTTACAGAAAGAGAGAAATACATATGTTAGATACAGAACCACCTGGTCCTAGAAAAGACATACAGCACAACTTAAAGTCTCAAGATTTCTCACCTAGGAGGAGTGAAGAAACAAATATCTATGATGTATAATATAAATAAAACATTACATTTCGATGAACTCTCTTCTATATTAAACACACTGATCAACACTTCACTGGAATTACTTCAAATAAAAGCAGAAACTGTGTGTGTTCATAAATTTAATCATGATAGTTTTTTTGAAATTACTCTATGAAAGTTACTTAGTCGTGTATCTTCTCTTTCACTACAGTGTTGTTATTAGTGAAAGTTACTTAGTCGTGTAACTTCTCCTCCACTACAGTGTTGTTATTAGTGAAAGTTACTTAGTCATGTAACTTCTCCTCCACTACAGTGTTGTTATTAGTGAAAGTTACTTAGTCAAGTACCTTCTCCTCCACTACAGTGTTATTAGTGAAAGTTACTTAGTCAAGTACCTTCTCCTCCACTACAGTGTTGTTATT